AGGATGGATGTTAAATTCATCTTACAGAGAGAGATGGAAAATTCCAAAGCTCATGGCTGCTAAGCAAAATTTTAAGGAAAGGCAAATTGTTCTGGCTGTCAAATAAGCCAATATAAGTTTTACAAAAGTTAAGCTTTGAGGAATAGTGTTTAGAACTAAATACCAACAGATTAATTAAACTTTCTATCTACCTCCTTCTTAAACTTTCTCTCTCTCTCTCTCTCTCTAGCACACACACACACACACACACTCCTGCATGAACACCGAAATTCACTCCTAGTATGCACCTCTTGTCTTAGGCAGGAGGTAATTTTGAGTTGCTTTGACTAGACTGCTCCCAAGGTATTCTCCTGGTTATTTCATATAAAGATTAAAATTTGATTACTTTGCATTATTTTCTCTTTAAACTTTTACTTTAGCAACAGACGTCAGGCAACTGTGAGGTCTTTGGGAATTTATAGAAAGATTCCAAGCTTATCTTTTATTTTCCTCCATCTAGATTTGTTTTCAAGTAAACACATACTTAGGTGAATAGACACTTTCTTTATAAAATATACTAATCAATTCACAGATTTAATGCTTAACTTCCCCTTACCTAATTTCTATCAACAGGTGCCTGAATATTTTATTTATAATTTATAAAGTGGTTGTTAGTAAATTGAAGTTATGAATTACTAATTTTGCTGTCTTGTGAACATATGACTGTACTGGTCACCATATTCACAATGGTATCCTCTCCTGGTGCCTACATTGCCCTGAAATGGGCCAAAAGCCTTGCTTCTTCAATACCCAGGTTATAGATCAGTGTCCAGGTGCCACCAGGGAGAGCCCAGTCTCACTGAAAGTATTTAAATTTATGGCGGAAGAAATGGAGAAGTAAATTACTGGTGCACACTCAGCACATTAATCTTTCTTCGTTGAGTTAACCTAATTCAAACGTGATATTACTGTCATTTCCTAAGAAAGTAGGAAGAAGAGTTTTCCAAACCTCTTAATAGAAAATTTGCCTTATTGTAAAATCTCAGAAATCCCTTAGGAAGTGAGAAAGGTTCAGATTTTGGCAGAATATTTGGACCCTTTTCTCAGGTTCTCCAACCAGTACTTTCACCCTGATATGATGCAAGATGACTTCCATAGAGATTATTGACCTACTCAAAGCCTTTATAGGGAAGGCCACAAGTATGGACCATTATTATATTGAGTGTGCCATAGCTGGGAAAACATATATCTTCTCCAAAAATACGCTTAGAGCATTTATCGTTGCATTCTCTGCTCTAGTGTTAGGGCAAATGACTGTTTCCTAGGAAATCACATGGCAATGGAGTGGGGCTGCCTGCTGACCTGCTGATGGAACTAGCAGCTGGTTAGCCATTCCTAGCACTTTTTGCTCTCAGACTCTTGTTCTCTCACAACCTAAAGCTGCTTAAAGTGAAATGTCATATGACAGGCAAGTCAGTCTTTACATCAAGTGAATCCTTTGAGGAATTAAAGTCCTGGTCAACTTTGCAAGGAAAAGAAAACAAAAACCTCAAAATGCCCAAGTCCTTTGAAGAATGGTGATATGCAAGGAAGAAAATTCCACTCGATGGGAAGAGGAACATTTTCTGTAGGACACAGTATAAATTCTAGTAGCTAAGGTATTTCAACTTAAAAACAGCCTTCTAATTTGCAAGTAATACAGGTACTCTACAAAATAAGAGAGAGGGGAATAATAATATACACATCTTGGTGTAGTCATTCATTATTTTATCCAGATAGAAGGAAGCAAAGGAAACTAAGAAAAATAGAAATTGCAAAAATGATCATTGCCGACACTTACTGAGCACTTACCATGTACCTGGCATAATGATAAGTACTTAACATTGATTTTATCATTTATTCCTCATACCATCCCTAGAGGCAGGTATTATTATACTCACTTACATATGAGGAATAATGCTGAGAGAGGTTAGGTAATTTTCCCCAGATCATATAGTTAAAGTGGCAGGGCTAGTTCTTTGGGATCACAGTATCAAAAGTTCTTATTGAGAATCAATGTGGTAGAGTGGAGAAAGCCTTTTGGGCAAGCTCTGACCAAAAAGTATGTGTTGGGATGGTTTGGGGATCATTTCATTTTCTGTTGTAGCTAGAGTCTTGAGATACACCCATTGATGGCTACATGGGACTTCTGTTGGCAAATATCTGTTGATGTCTTGTTAAATCAGTTGGTTATTGTGGCTGAGGCTGTGGGTTTGCTCTTGCATGAATAGTTTAGGTCTTCTCTGTAGTGAGTCATCTTTCTAAATCATATCTTGGACACAAAGAAGCAGAATGAGAAAAAATTAGACAAAACCATGCAAAATCAGAGGTGCAAGATTAACCATGCAAGATTAGATTTGGGGAAAATAACCCAAAGTACATGGTTGTGATGAAGCTATTACCCAAATGCTAAGTGTACCTTCAGAAGTTCTATCCATTAATCTAAGGATTATGAGTTAATCAAGCATCATGTCTCCCTGCTACTCTTGTCCCCACAACTGTTCACTTCTCTCTCTTCCTAAGTCTATATCGCATATCTATAGCTGTAGGCACTGAAATGTGACGTAGAGCTTTCTAGCCTTTTGTATACAACAAAAAGTGGCTGTGAATATAATAGATAACATTTTAAAGAATGAAATTGTGTTTGAAACTGGTATGCAGGTCCCTCATCAGCCATTTCAGTCACCCAGACAGTGTGACCTGCCATCATGAAGCAGCATCTTTGAAAACAGAGAACAGTAGTACCCATATACATCAAACCGGGACTTCAGCTATGATCAGCCCTTCGACTGCATATGTAGAAATGGGCCTGTATGACCCTCAAAAAACTGTCCTTTCTCTTTTGGGTTGCTGACTTCCTGTTGAATCAGAGATTAATTTTATTTGCTCTAGTACAGCGATTTTCAACTGGTATGCCACAAGAATTTTTAAAACATGCAATACCTGACTATTTAGTCAGGGTCACTGACCTCTTTTCCTTTAGATTGTCAAATTAAAAAATGACAACCAAAACAATAGTTGCTTGGTGTGAATGAATCAAAATTATACCTATTTATTTTGTCAGATTGACAAATAATATATTTTTTGGTGTGCTGCAGAATTTAATAATTACTTTATGTGTGCCATGAGATGAAAAAGGTTGAAAATCACTGCTCTAGTGAGTCAGCCCTGTCTCATTGCCAGGGTCAAGATTCACAGTTCATGAGTTCATGCCAATCCCAGGAGAGACCGTCAGATGGCAGCATCTAGTTCAGTGGTTCTCAACCTTCCTAATGCGGGGATCCTTTAATACAGTTCCTCATGTTGTGGTGACCAACAACGATAAAATTATTTTAGTTGCTACTTCATAACTGTAATTTTGCTGTTATGAATCATAATGTAAATATCTGATATAAAGGATGTATTTTCAAATGACCCCTGTGAAAGGATCGTTCGACCCCCAAAGGGGTCGCGACCCACAGATTGAGAACCGCTGAAGCTAGTTGGTGTTGGTAAGCGATTCCCACTTCCACTCCTCCCCTATTCCACCCATGATTAAACTCTGTTGCTAGAAAGAAGCAACTCTGAACATAAATGTCTTTAATATCCTGAATATTTGGGGAGTGGAAAGAGAGAGGGAGTAGAAGATGTGGGAAAAGCACTGATTTTAGAGTCAGATAGGTCTGGGTTCCTTCCTTTCCTCAGTCAATAGAAGCAATGTTCTGACACTATATGGCAATGCTTTCTTTGTTGTGGCTCTGAAGATTTTTGTTTAGTTTTTGTGTTGTTTTTAAACTCTATAAAACATACGTTTATTTTCCACTGCCAAAAGTGCCAAAAGGATTCTGCAACTAGAGACAACAGAAAACTAACAACAGCTATTGACAAGATAGACACAGCATGAAGGATACATGCATGATGATGGATTATATCACCAGGGCCTAGTTTTTGGTTGTGCATAGAAACAGCAAGGAAAAATGACAGTCTAAGTCCTCTTTTGTGAAGATTGTGCTGTTGAGATTTATTTTTTAAATGTCTTTTATCAGTCAGTTCCACAAGCCATTTGGTTTCATTCGTTCACCAGTTCCCTCGTTTTGTTTATTAGTTCACTCAATCAATATTTATTATCTTCAGATACTAAAGATGGATACTCTGTGTGTTATTTTTTATAGGATCAATAAGATTTCCAAAATGACTTGATTTTAATACCATTAAAAGAATGCCAACTTGGTGAAAAAGGTGAAGGAACTAAGAAGTACAAATGGCCAGTTTTAAAAATAGCCATGGGGATGTCAAGTCAGCATAGGAAATACAGTCAGTAGCATTGTAATAACGATGTATGGTGTCAGATGGATGCTAGACTTATGTGGTGATCACTTGTTAATGTATATAAATCACTATGTAGTACACATGAAACTAATATATGTCAACTGTAATTGAAATTTTTTAATTTAAAAAAAGAATAGACACATGAGAGGAGAAGCTAACCCTAAATATTACTCTATCCTTTTTTTCCCTACATCTTCCTCAATTCCCAGATGTCAGGAATTAAAATCAGGTCACAAACTCTCATTGGCATATCCTATCTATCCAAACCTTTGGGATTCAGAGTCTTCAGGGAACAAAACACTCTCTAAAGATCACATGACTAGATAATTTCCTCAAGAGACAGACAACTCCAGTGTCATTTAGATCTGCCTTTTCACATCCTGGCCATACAGGACATATACACCTGGGCTTCCACCTGTTCAGTCTCTGACCCAAGTCACTGTACTGGCTACAGCACTGTCTCTCTATGAAAGAGTAAAGCTCTTGCTTTCGGAGAAGATCATATTTGCAAACTTTTTAGTCTTGGGGAAGCTTTGATGAGAAAAGTTGTGAGCAGAGAAGTGGGGAGGAAGAGTAGACTGTAGAGTTGGGAAATATCAGCTTGCCATTCTCCACACCTCTCTTTGATGCCCATTTCTTACCTTCCTTTCTCCTTCCCCTTTATTTCTCTCCAGGCACCTCCAAGGTAGTGATGGCTCTCCAGAAGACCCTTTCATTGCTTCTGCTCTCACTGCTGACCCTGCTGGGGCTGGGGCTGGTGCAGCCCTCCTATGGCCAGTTCATGTACCAACGATTCCTGCGGCAACATGTTGATTCTACACAGAGAGGTGTCACCAGCTCGTACTGCAACACGATGATGGAAAGACGGGGGATGACTAGGCCTAGGTGCAAGCAATTCAACACCTTCATCCATGCAGACATCGGCGCCATTAACAACATCTGCAGGACCCCCAATATCCGGTGCAAGAATGGCAAGGAGAACTGCCATGAGGGTGTAGTGAGAGTCACAGGCTGCAGGCTTACAGGAAGTTCCTGGGGAAACTGCAGATATCAGGGCAGGGGCAGCTCTAGGCGTGTTGTCATCGCCTGTGAGGGTAACCCCCAGGTGCCTGTGCACTTTGACGGATAGATACTACCCAAGTGGTTATGGCCCCGTAGTTGACCTTTTACTTATTCCTTGAATAGCAATGAGTAATACATTTGAGCTCTCTCAGGCTCTGCCTCCTCTGCTTATTACTCCCTTTTCTCTATATAATCCATTCTGTTAAATGCATCAAAGAGAAATGGAGACATAAACGTATAATGGGACTGGGCTTTCTGTAATAAAATCTTCTACAAACTCTTCTGCTTCCTTTTATAATACTGGTCAGCTTAGCGCTCTCAGATCCTATCTTCTGGAATGTAGTCATTATATGTATGATATAGCATTTCAAGTATTTTAAGGTGCTTCCATCTCAGTTATCTCATTTTAATACCACTGCACCACTGTGGTGCTCATGTTGCTACAAAAAGGGCCCAACGTTAAAGGATTTGCTGAAGAACATGAAGATAGTGGAAAAGCTGACACAAAAAATCCATTTCAAAAAAAAAAATCCATTTCAACTGGCTACTAATCCAGGCCTTTTCCTACTTCATCACAGGGAGTGCTTTAAAAGTAACTGCTTTTTGATATTCTCAAAAGTCAGCTGTTGGGGGAACCATTAAAAATTTAGAAATATGAACTGACAAAATGAGAGCTCTGTCTGTATAATTTGACAACCTTGTTATGTTTGTACCTATAAGATTAGGAAATTATACAGGACTTTCTTTTTCTCTTCACAAACTTTTGAATCACTGTAGTAAGTCAGAGTATTAACAATGTACTAGATCATTAAGACTCACTCACTCTTCCTGACTAGGAAGGTTTTTCATGTTTTCTTTGCAATAAAGAACTCCAACCACAGATACCTGTGAAGATGGTGCTGTGGTTCTTGTGTGGAATTTTTTTCTTTTATCCTCTTTTAATCCTTTTCTAGTTTATAAACATGCACCAACAACATAATGTCCTCATAAACTGGTCCATGATTGAAACTATTGGATCAATGACCACAACACAGAAATATTTGTGTCATTTACTAAAGACAATTCTCTTACCCCTCCCTTTTCCCTTTGATTATTTTGAAATAAATTGGGGAACAGAGATGTATGAAGACACTAGCAGTTAAAAAATGAAAGTATGTATGTGAGAGAGTGTGTGTGTGTGTGTGTGCACGTGAAAGGACTAAACTGAAAATATTTGAATTGCAGCAGATACAAATTATTTATATTTAAAGTGTGCAACCTGATTCAGTATACATTTGCATTGTGAAAGAATCACTACAATCATGCTAATTAATGTATCAGTTAACTCACATGGTTACCAAAAGTGACCCCATTTTGGATTGTTTTCAACCATTCTTTTCAACACTACTGACCATCATAGCTTAGCCCACCAGTTTCTTCTGACTACATATTGCTTTCACACCATTGTAAAGTTAAAAAACCATAGGCATGAAAATCCTATATAATAAAAGCATAGTATGCAAATTGTCCCCTCAACCAGGAGTTCCTCGGGGAGTTCGACCAGGGGTCGGGGGCCAGCTGGGGGAAAGGAAGGAGGCCTCCGGCCTGCGTCAGCAGGCGACTGGGGGAAGGGAGGGAGTACCTGGTCAGCAGCCGGCAGCCAGCAGCCACTAAGGACCCTACCAGTGCACGGATTTTGTGACCTGGACTTCTAGTTTATAAAAAAATTGTGAATCATGTTTGCTAATCCATGTCACCACACTAAAACTTAACAACTAACCAAATTTCAGCCTCTTCCAGAGGTGAAATTTTAAACCAGTCAATTTAGAATTATCTGATCAGCACTGATGAGGTAATCTGGCTGATAAGACCCTCTGCCTTCCCCTGAATGAAGGTGCTCTTGCTTAAAATAATCCAGTCTTCTAACTATGTAGTCCCACTGTGCTGGGCTGCATATCTGGCGCTTTGGCCAGGCGGGGCACGCTGTGCTCTCTGTTCCTAAAACACATAGATAGGAAGGTAGTCACTGTACTGATGCTGTACTGTGTCGGGAACAAATTGTGTAAACAAGGCTTTGTAACTAACTTTGTTGTTTTTGCAAATAAAAATGCTGTAACTCCTGTAGTCGGCACTGCAGTTCAGCCCTTGCTTTGGCAGGGTGCTGTAACTGTAGTCGCTGGCCAGCTTAATAAAGGCTCCTAAATCTTGATCTGAGTCCCTGATGGTCATCTCTGCGGGTTGCCCCATAACACCACCCTCTTTCTTCCTATAAAACCTTCCATTTTATACAACTCACCAAAGCACCTTTCTGGTTGCTAGAAGGCATGCTGCCCAATTCCTGAATTGCTTAATACAGCCAATTAGATCTTCAAACTTACTTGGTTGAATTTTGTTCTTTAATTCCTGCCCCCAGGGCCTTGCCATTCCTTTGTACCCAGAAGACTGTCTTTGATGTATGACCCCTTTGCTCCAGGCTCTTCTCAGAGTGACCCCCAGTGTTCTAGATGAGGAGATAAACAGGTGCACAGAGTAAGGCTGTCCCCTCTTCCCCCACCACCACTGCCAATCAGTTGGAACACTGCACTTCCCTCATATATTCCTTTCATAGCTCTAAGAAAAGGGAAAGGACCTGACTTTGCTCTTTAGATTCACACACTAATCCCCATGGACCTGTGAATGTGAGTATGGAATCTGAATAGGGCAAGTTAGAGTTAGAAGGGTTGGTACTGAGCATGGCTGGGGGAAAGGCACAGGAACAGTGGAAGGAGTTTGCTTGACCTTCTAGGTGGTAGAGTTGAGAATGCAGTGATCCAACTTGTAAGAAGTAAAGACCGGAATTTAACTCAGCATTAATCTCACTAATTCAACCTCTCTCCCTCCCCAATATCTTCAAGCATAATTCATTGAAGCAGCTTAAATCTTGGTCTTCTCATCCTGTTTAGGCCATTTGAGCTAGGGATAGGGTGCCACAAATGAGAACCTGCCTATTCCTTATTCTGTGCCTGATAGAGCACTGGAGACCCTCAAAAGTTCTCTCAGGCAAATTCCATTAGACTCTCACAGGTCATAAGGGAGTTACTATTAGGCTCATTTGAGGATACCAATTCTGAGATATTGAGAATCAGGTTAGAGTTTCTGTAGGGCCAGGTTAACTCCTTGTGGTCACTGAGGACAGAGAGCTGGTTTAAAGGGGAGACTATTTCAAATATCCCTAGTCCCTGATTTTGACCAGAGTAGGTCCTGTGAGGGCAGTTTCAATCTTGGTACTTGGTTGCTTAAAACACTATTTCAAAACTTTATGATGGTATTCTTACTGGCAAATCAAGATCATTCAGCATGATAATAATTAGGAAAATGGCCTCAGAGAAGGCAAGTGGGCAGTCACAAGTGCTACCATGTTTCAGGCAGGCATTGGGGAAGTGTTATGAGGAAGTCAAGATGAGATAAGCACCACTTGCAGAGTCAGTTTTAATTGCAGCCTGGGATTTCAGGGAGCCAAAGCTTCCTGCTTGGAAAATGTTTCCCAAGTCTACTCATCTTCTACATTCCCTTAAAGCAGTGGTTCTCAACCTTCCTAATGCCGCGAACTTTTAATACAATTCCTCATGTTGTGGTGACCCCCAATTTCATTGTTACAAATTGAACATAATTAAAGCATAGTGATTAATCACAAAAATAATATGTAATTATATATGTGTTTTCTGATGGTCTTAGGCGACCCCTGTGAAAGGGTCGTTCGACCAACAGGTTGAGAACCGCTGACTTCGAGGAACTTATTAAACACCCTTGGTTACCACAGCAGTTTTTGTAAAGGCAAACTAGCTCAATCCCTTGGGGACAGAGGGATCCATGACTGCAGACTATAGGGAAAACCCTGAGCCTCTCCACTTCCCTCCTTCCAGATGATTTTGACTGGCTTTTCACTCAGGTTCCTTGCTTGCCACACCAGAATCCAGAGTTGTCATCCTTCAACTCTCAGTCTGAAAACAGTGCAGGAATGGCTGTGGCACTGCCCACCTGCCACAAAGCACACTGGCTCCAGGCCAGCCCCAGGGCTCTGACTGCTCTCTGATCCCTTTAGAGGGGTGTTAAGCAATGTTTGCAACATTAATATTTAACACAAATCTGCCGGAGGACTGTTGTTGCAAGTTACTGTCCTAGGGTGAAAGACAGGAAGTTGGGAGCTAGCTAGAAAGTGAGCTATTTGAGAATGTCTTGTTTTAGAGCAGTGGTTCTCAACCTGTGGGTCGCGACCCCTTTGGGGGTCGAATGACCCTTTCACAGGGGTCGCCTAAGACCATCGGAAAACACATATATAATTACATATTGTTTTTGTGATTAATCACTATGCTTTAATTATGTTCAATTTGTATCAATGAAAATACAACCTGCATATCAGATATTTACATTACAATTCATAACAGTAGCAAAATTACAGTTATGAAGTAGCAACGAAAATAATTTTATGGTTGGGGGGTCACCACAACATGAGGAACTGTATTAAAGGGTTGCGGCATTAGGGAGGTTGAGATCCACTGCTCTAAGTAATTCTTTTTCTCTTGATTTTCTCTTATTTATTACCAAGCCTAGTCTTGCATTCTGGGCAAAAGTCTAGATATGCTTGGATGAAACTACTTTTTCCTTGGTGGAGGAGGGGATGGGATGGTGGTATTGAAAGCATATTTTACAAATAGTTTTATTGAGTATAATTGCATATTTTAAAACATACATATTTAAGTTGAGCAATCTGATGAGTTTTGACATATATATGTTAACACAAAAACATTCAGACCTGTAAAGAATTTTTGTGAGTTTATTTGAGCCAAACTCTTGACATATGCCAGGAAGCAGAACCTCAACAAATTGAGATAATGCTCCGGAGAATGGTGGGTTACATCTATATTTATACACTAGTGTCCCAGTGCATGGATTTGTGCACATTGAAAGGAAATTAATTAGAAGAAATATTTTAATATCACTATTCTCCTTTTCTCTATAATAGAAGTGTCAACCAAATTCACAATTGACAATGACAGATTGAAACACGTGTGCGATTGGCACCAGCAAGAGCTTTATATGTATCGCGCATGCACGAGTCAACGTTTATTTTTAAATTTCCAGTGCATGTCATATGTGCTGGCTGGTCGGTTGGATGGTCGGACTGACATACAGTGGGTTGGTCACTTAGCCTTTTATATATATAAAGGTCGGAGGATGAGTTATTTTTATTGGAATTATGTTTCTCAGGTTGCAAAGTCCCATGCCCCTTAACACAGTCCTAAAAAAGGTGTAGCTGGGGGTCCACCAGAGCCAAAAGCAAGGCCAGTGTTCAGAGCCTCTGTTCTATGTTGCAGCCAGGCACAGTTCAGGATCAAGGAGAATCAGTCTATTAATTCATTGTGTAGAGACAACATGGCCATGGGCCACATGGAGGAATGCAGGAGAATACACCCTGTGAAACAGGAGTCCCAAGAAAGCTAGAGGGCCAAGGGCCAAGCTTTGTCCAAGAGTTTAAATATTCAGGTTTCTAAAATTTGCAGTGGCCACGCCAACTCTGGCCACTAACTTGTTCCCTGGTGTGACTGACAGATAAGCACCTTCTCACGTCATTCAGACCTTACGGGGCATGTGTCCAAACTGCTTTTGTCCAGTCCCTTACCCATTGATCTGTGGGGAACAAATTTGGAGAATGTTAAATTACAGCTATCTAGCAAGGCTGTATAAAGGGCATGCCTATATTATCTAGTCTTCCCTCTACTTCTTTTCTGTTACCTAATAACCATCCCCCCTCCATGCTTATCTTCTTTCTTATCCCCTTAAGGTCTTCTTAATTAACAATTAACAACAAATAAGGCATCATTCATTTGAATGGTCATAGTACCACTGTTACATATCTTAAACACCAGGTTCTTGAGTCTCC